GAGGGTTCCACCCCCCGCTTAGCCACCGGAGTGACATCTCTCAGTGGAGCAGACTTCTAAGAGTTCTGATTTTGTGCTCCACGGCTCTATCACTTGCCAGAAGCGGCCGACGGAGGCCCCCCCCCCGCCGTCTATCCTCCTGAATATCACCTTGGATTCACTTCTCCGCACGTCCTACCTTCCAGAAAATGGTCGCTTTTCTGTTCAGAGAGTTGTTGCTATTCTTTTCTTTGATCTCCTGTTGAGTTTGTAGGTGTTCAGAATGGTTTGATCCCTATCCAGCTGAATTCCTGAGAGGAGATAAAATCCAGGTCTCCTACTCCTCCGCCATCTTGCTCCGCCCCCCGGTTGTTTCCTTTGTTGTGCAGAAGCTTTTTATTTTGATGTGTTATATATATACAATAGAATATTACTCAACCATAAAAAAGAATGAAATCTTGCCATTTGCAACAATATGGATATATTATGCTAAGCAAAATAAGTCAGTCAGAGCAAGACAAATATCATATGATTTCACTCAGATGTGGAATTTAAGAAACAAAACAAATGAACAAAGGGAAAAATGAGAGAGAGGCAAGCCAAGAAACAGACTTTTAATGATAGAGAACAAACTGATGGCTACCAGAGGGGAGGTGGGTGGGGGGATGGGTTAAACAGGTGATGGAGATTAAGGAGTACACTTGTTGTGATGAGCACCAGGTGTTGTATGGAGGTGTTGGATCACTATATTATACACCTGAAACTAATATTGTACCATTAAATGGAATTCAAATAAAAATTTGAAAAAAAAATTGAAAAGACAATCCATAGAATGAGAGAAAATATTTACAAATCCTTTCATATGGAATATCCAAATACCCAAAATATATAAAGAACTCTTACAACTCAAAAATAAAAAGACAACCCATTTTTTAAAAAGCAAAGGATTTAAATTCACATTTCTCCAAACAAGATGGATGAAAAGATGCTCAACATCATTAGCCATTAGGAGAATGAAGTAGTGGTACAGAGGACAACATGGATAAATGTTAAAACATTATGCTAAATGAAAGAAGTCAGTCACAAAAGGCTAAATATTGTATGAGTCCATCTATATTACATGTCCAGAAAAGACAAATCCATAGAGACAGAAAAGTAGATTCGTGGTTGCCAGGAACTACAGAGAGAGGGAGAAGATGGAGTGGCTGCTAATGGATATGGGGTTTCTTGGGAAAATGAAAGTGTTCTAAAATTAGATAATGATGGTGGCTGTGCAACTCTATGAATATACTAAAAATCCCTGAACTGTATACTTTGAAATGGTAAATTTTATGGTATGTAAATTATACCTCAATAAAGCTATTAATATATATTTAAGCTTTAAAATGTATAAAAATTTTTTCTAGAGATGGTAACTTATAAAAAAATAAGAGTTAAGTTTGTACTTACAGCTTTGCTCTGCAATTTGTTGAAAGAATATCTCAAGGTATCAACTGCTTCTGATTCTTCTTTGGTCACTTCAACTTCAAATCTGTTTAAAATAGCATAGGCTTCCTGGAAAGTGGGAGTAGAGTTCAGAAATATCACAAGGAAAGCAAATGCCAAATGATTTAGATGCCCTGTAGAAACACATTCCTATTTTTCCCATTCTTAGAAGAGAGTGTGTTTTAGAAGAGTGGTTCCCAAAATTAGACATGTATGTAAACACCTCTAAATTCTCCCTGATACCAGATATTGACTCTAGAGCTTAGGTCCTGAAATCTGCATTTAATAAGCACCTAGGTGATTCTGATGGAGATGTAGGCAGATCACACTGAAATACTATCTTAGTCGAGGCACGTGGGTGGCTCAGTTGGTTGAGCATCTGACCCTTGGTCTCAGCTCAGGTCTTGATCTCATAGTCATGAGTTCAAACCCCACATTGGGCTCCATGCTGGGCATGCAGCCTACATCAAAAAAAGAAAGAAAGAAAGAAATACTATCCTAGAAAATATCCCTAGGATCATTTTCTCCTCTTTGATCTCCTCTCTCCTCTTTGATCTTGTGCAACACCATGCAAAATATCTTCTCATTACTCTATTAAAATATGCATTGGCTATATAAAGAACAGAATGAAACAATGATGTGGGAGATACCCTGAAGAAAAGAAAACTTGAATGGTCAAAGGGATGGATTGGCAATTGGATTTACTAAAATAATTCATGCTGAAGAATAAAGTTTCTGGGGTGCCTGGGTGACTCAGTGAGTTAAATGCCCATCTCCTAACTTCAGCTCAGGTCATGATTACAGGGTCATGAGATTGAGCCCCACATCGGGCTCCATATTGGGCATGGAGCCTGCTTAAGATTCTCTCTCTTCCTCTCCCTCTGCCCCTCCCCCACTGCTCACACAAGTGCACCCTCTCTCTTAAAAAAAAAAAAGGTAATAAAATAAGAGTCTGATTTAAATATTAGTCATAATTAATTTATGGTAGACAAAATAATGGCTCTCTCCAGTGTTGTCCACATCCTAATCTCCAGAGCCTGTGAATATGTTACTTTACATGGCAAAAGGGACTTTGCAGATGTGATTATGTTTGAAAAAAAAAAAACTTGAAATGGGGAGATTATCCTGGACAAACTGGTTGGGCCCAAAGTGATCACAAATGTCCATATAAAGGAAAGAGGGAGGCAGGAGAGTAAAGCCAGAGAAGATGTAAAGACTGAAGCAGGGGCAGGAGTGATGACATTGCTGGAAGGGGCTGTGAGCCAAGGAATGCTGGTGGCTTCTAGAAGCTAGAAAAGGCAAGGAACAGACTCTCTCCTAGAGCCTCTAGAAAGAATACAGCCCTTCTGACATCTTGATTTTAGCCCCATAAAATCCATTTTCAGACTTATGATCTGTAGAACTGTAAAATAATACATTTATGTTGTTTTAAGCCATTACGTTTATGGTAATTCGTTATAGCCACAGTAGGAAACTAATATAGCACTCCACCCTAGAAACATCTCTGGTTGATGTTAGTTCCAACAGACTACTATTGAGCCTAAGTGGACTCCTCCCACCATGCTTCCCTTGGTATGCCATTGTTCATGAGTGAGACCTATAGTGGTTTCTAAGGAAAGCCAAAGATATTTGGGGAACTTGCCTAGCATGTTGGGATTGACATGAAAGAGCACAAGCATTCATTTCTGTAAAATGTTGGTGCTAGCATAAAAAAACTGAACACTGTCTAGACCAGTTCAGCATTATTAATATATTAATATTCCTTTGTATACTGTTCACTGTTGGTAATTGTCAAAACCCCTCCAAGGGCATCAAATCAGAAAGGAGAAACTGGCAGACTGTGCCATAAAATAGATGAAGAAAGTATGTTAACAGAATCAATTTTTTAGTGTGTCTCTATTTAAAAAAAAAAAATTTTTCAAGAAAGAAAAAATGTGATCATTTCTTACTTCAATTGGTCCCAAAGTCATGTCCATTTGAATTTCGTTATCACGGATAGATGATAAGGCTTCCATTGCAAACCTGACATCATCTAAATCACGAATAGGTCTAGACAACTTTTTCAAGTATTCATTGATAAATGCTATCATGTCTGACATTTTCTTTTTGTATTCTTCATTCAAGTAGCGACAGAGTAACATCTTCCATGCCTTAGCCTCAATTGATAAGGCCAGTTTCATTGGCTCTGGGGAAGAGGAAGAAAGATCAGAATGGAATACAATTGACATTCTGAAACTATTTACTTCATGTCTAATCTGAGCATCTCTAACTTCACTGTCCTATTTGATGATCCCAGCTCCAACTAGTCAACTCCATCTTAACAATCCTTATACATTCCTCTTTTCTTCTCTTAGTATCCCTCAACCCGCCAGCCCTGCCATGTTTGAAACATGACTGCCCTTGCCAACTTCCAACAGTTAGACTAGGGAGCTGCGGAAACATACAGCCAGCTTGTTGGTTGAGGCTGAGAGATCCTCTCATGAGGTCTGCATCTTGTGGGCCTGTCTTCTCTTTTTCCTCAGTCCCCAAGCATTCAGCCCACCTTCCCCCTTCTTTAGAACTCTTGCTGCCTATTCCATTTCTTAGTTTTCTCTCTGTAAAACTGAGCCCCCAGCCAACTTTCACTCTGTGCTAGAGTTGATTTTTGTATGAGGAATCACAGTGCTAACCACTATGAGAAAACAAATAGGAAATTTAAATAATAGTAATAATAATAGGTAAACTAATTTTCCAAAAGTCTACAGTTCTTGGAATTATTGTCCCTGAAGTATTGTTTCTGATTTCTTTTTTTTTTTTTTAAGATTTTATTCATTTATTTGACAGAGAGAGACACAGCGAGAGAGGGAACACAAGCAGGGGGAGTGGGAGAGGGAGACTCAGGCTTCCCACTGAGCAGGGAGTCTGATGTGGGACTCGATCCCAGGACCCTGGGATCATGACCTGAGCTGAAGGCAGACACTTAACGACTGAGCCACCCAGGCACCCCTAGTTTCTGATTTCTAACTAAATATTCCCTTCAAGTATTTGTGATTCTTCCCCAATTTAAATCCCTTCTTGATAGATATAATAACAGCATTTAAGGGGTGCCTGCGTGGCTCAGTCAGTTGAGCTGCCAACTTGATTTCAGCTCAGGTCATGATCTCAGGGTGCTGGGATCAAACCCCGTGTCTGGCTCCATGCTCAGCGGAGTCTGCTTGAGATTCTCCCTCTCCCTCTGCCCCTCTCCCCCGCCCCCCATACTCTCTCTCTCTCCCAAATAAACAAATAAATCTTTAAAAAAATAATAACAGTATTTCATATTTATTGAACATCAACTATTTGCCAAGTAGTATGCTAAGTGTTCCATATAAAGCAGTTCGTGAGGTGAACTCTGTCATTATCACCAGCAGAAGGGATGGGATTAAAGAGGTCAGGTAACCTTGACAATCAAATTTGAGAGCCACAGTTAGACTTACTCTTTAAGGATAGATCTGAAAATCTACTTAAGGTGGATAGTTGATGTAAAATAGGTCATTCAAATATCTTCTGAGAATAAAATCTTCTCACAAACTTCTGACAAGACTGTACCGCTGTAACCATGGCAACAAGTAGCCACCATAACCCAGTTTTAAACCCAAGCCATAGACCAACTGACCTCAGGTCCCATACTTTTGCCACCCGATCCGCATCAGCTCCTCCCTTCTGAATGTCAACCAGTCGAAAAGAACATATCGATAAGCCTGCCTCTGAGTGCCAACCAATCAACAACAATCTCACCTGAGTAAACATCTTTCTACAGATGATATTAACCTATTTACACCCACAGTCCTTAAACCCCATGCTGTCCAGACACCTTATATGAGTGTGCCCTGCTCGGAACACTGGGCCTGACCAGCATCACTCTCCCTTACTCTTGTAATCAGTAAAATCAGTTTGGGAGTTTTATCTCAGATATTAAGCAGCTGTCTCATCATCCTTTGATACACTAATCCCAAGTGGATTAACTTCTCAGGAAAGCTCAATTTGTTTGATTCCTATCTCATGTATACAGCTCCTTCCTCACAGTAACCTGAAAAAGAGTTTCACCTGTAGCTTAGTTGCTTGACTGCCAATTGAGGAATTGCATCGTATTCAGTATATTAAGCCACCTGGTATAATATTATATGCAAAGAATATATAATAATATATGATATAACACACAATGTATATATACATATATACAACATATATATGAACAATATTCATGGCCCAGAAATATTTGATATTTACAATATTGTACCAAAGTAGTTTCACAACTGCTTTCTAAATAAAGCAGCATTTCATGTGAAAATACAGATACTTTACATAACATTTTAAAAATACCTGTATGCAATTCAAGTGCTCCCACAACAATAATAGGCTTCAACTCATTGATCTCCTGTTCAAAAGTAGCAAAGTGTAGAATTTCTGATCTGATTTCAGTCAGAGAGGGGTTGTTAGCCAAAAACTCCTGTAGTAAGGAAACAGTGTTTACTTTAGCTTTTTGACAGTATAAATCTCACATTGCCTTTTTTTTTTTTTTTTTGCTTATATACTTTTCCACTTGTATGTCAGGGGACTGGCTCAGTAAAGAAAGGGATGAGCCAGTAGTACTGGAAGATGAGGCTATGTGAGGGAATGTCACAGTCTACCATGAATAACAACAACAACAACTATACTAATGTTATTCATGTGTCATTGAGTCTCTAACCAAAAAGACAGCTTTATCTATGTAAGTGTGACACACTCTTGAATACCCAGCCTCTGAATGTGTCTGGAACTCAATTGGTACTCAATTGTTTACACAAATTAAACGAAATCTTCCTGAGCCTCATTCCTTTCAGTTACTTCAGAGTGTCAATGTGAGAATTGCAGAAAATCGAGTATGTTAGGTGCTGGACATTTACAGGTTCCTGACCTCTGCTCATGAGTTCCTGTCACGATCACTGATACTTCCCTGGTCCTCTCACGCAAGTTAGATATAAACAACTCAAACCCAAACTGCATCACAAGTAGCAGAAATACACCTTCACTTTCACGTCTTGGTCCTCGGTCCAGAGCGTCTTGTACTTTTGAAAGTCCTGCAAGGCCTCGTGAGCTACCTTTCGTAGAGAATTCACAGAGGAAGAAAGGAGGAGAACCAACTTGGAAATATCCTTGTGCTCTGCTACCCCCGGATAAAAATTCTTCAGCTTCCTTGCAGGAATAATTTCTTCAAAAGATCCTGAAAACAGATATTTTTATATGTAGATAACTTCTATATTCAACTTTAAATATTATCAATGTTAATATTTATAGATTTTTTTTTCAAGCTGTAGTTTTTAAAGGACTCTCCCTCCAAGTAATTAAGAGCTATTCTCTTATACGTCACTGACTCTTATTAAACCACTGTGTCAGATTCTGAGGTCTAGATTTCTTTAAAGTGGAAAAACTGTTTTCAGAGAAGAGAACTGAAAGACACTGATGAAACCCTCCCCACCCCAAATAAGTCCTCCAAGGAAAGGTCAAAAGAGCTGACATTGTTGCTCTACAGAACTGCATGGTGGTTAAAAGAGAGGCACCATATTTATTACCTAAATAACTTTAGGCCAGTTTTTTAATCTTCATGGAAATATATGTGAGGATTAAATGAGACAACATATGTTTGTCTTCAGCTCAACATCTGGTATATCGAGACATGCAATCACTATTAACCACCACTATAAACATCTCTTGCCAAAATCTGATCGTGTCACTGCCTTGATCAAAATTCTCCAGTATTCCCCATCAAACAGACTATACAGATACATTTGGCCCAAACAATGCCTTGCTTTTCCAAAACAGTTGTGAACAATTAAAAAGCATGATCATGCATGCAAAATTCCAGATTTCTAACTTCTCTTTTAAAAGGGTTTAATCAGGGGCACCTGGGTGGCTCAGTCAGTTAAGCGTCTGCCTTGGGCTCAGATCATGATCCCAGGGTCCTAGGATTGAGTCCTGCATCGGGCTCCCTGCTCAGTGAGGAGCCTGGTGCTCCCCCTGCTTGTGCTCTATATCTCTCTCAAATAAATAAAATCTTTTAAAAAAATAAAAAGGTTTAATCTAGGGTACCTTGGTGGCTCAATCGGTTAAGTGTCCAACTCTTGATTTCAGCTCAGGTCATGATCTCAGGGTTTTGTTATTTTGTTTTTAAAGATTTTATTTATTTGTCAGAGAGAGAGAGTACACAAGCAGGGGGAGCGGCAGGCAGAGGGAGAAGCAGGCTCCCCACTGAGCAGGGAGCCCGATGCTGGACTTAATCACCAGACCCTAGGATCATGACCTGAGTCGAGGGCAGACGCTTAACCGACTGAGCCACCCAGGCGTCCCATGATCTCAGGGTTTTGAGATCGATCCCCAAGTCAAGCCCTACCTCAGGCTCCATGCTGGGATTCTCTCTCTGTCCCTCCTCTCTCTCTCTCTCAAAAATAAAAAGATTTGACCTGGTAATACAGGACCCGTGTTTCTGCGTGGCAACAATTAGCCGAAGCTGAGAAGCATCTCTTAAAAGGGCATCCCTGTTGAATTTGCCACAGTCTCCTCTAAGACCAGGTCACTCATTTGCTCTTTTGTCTTAATTTTAAACAAAATTAAAGCAAACGAAACTATAAGGTATTGGCTTAATTAACTAAGTCACTAATGTTGCATGTCCTGGGAGTTCTATCCCTTTTATTCCACAGAAGCATTCCACTGTGTAGCTATACCTCATTTTGTTAGTCCATTGGCCAGCTTTTGGACATCTGGTTTGCTAGCAATTGGAAGCTATTACAAATAATGCAGCAGTGAACATTCACATCTTTACATGCACATGTGATTTCATTTCCCTTGGGTAAATTCCTAGGAGTGGAATTCCTGAGCCAAATGGTAAAGTTATGTTCAGCTTTTTAAGAAAGTGCCAAACTGGTTCCAAAGTGGCTGTACCTTTCTATATATTCCCTGCAGCAATGCATCAGAGTTCCAGGTTCTTTGTCAACAATTAGTATTGTAGATTTTTTTTTAATTTTATCCATTCCAATAGGTATGCCGTGGTATATCATCATGGTTTTTTTTTAAAAAAGATTTTATTTATTTATTTGACAGAGAGAGACACAGCGAGAGAGGGAACACAAGCAGGGGGAGTGGGAGAGGGAGAAGCAGGCTTTCCTCCGAGCAGGGAGCCCGATGCGGGGCTTGATCCCAGGACCCTGGGATCATGACCTGAGCCGAAGGCAGACGCTTAATGACTGAGCCACCCAGGTGCCCCTCATCATGGTTTTAACCTGTATTTCCCTAATAACTAATGATGGATGTTGAGCATCTTTTCATGTGTGTTTTTATTTTTATTATTATTATGTTCAGTTAGCGAACATATAGAACATCATTAGTTTTTGATGTAGTGTTCAACGATTCATTAGTTGTGTATAACACCCAGTGCCTATCACAATATGTGCCCTCCTTTATACCCATCACCCAGTTATCCCATCCCCCCACCCCTCCCTTCTGTAAACCTCAGTTTATTTCCCAGAGTCCAGAATCTCTCATGGTTTGTCTCCCTCTCTGATTTCTTCCCATTCAGTTTTCCCTCCCTTTTCATGTGTATTTTAGCCTTTTATATATCTTCTTTGTTGAAATCCATCTTTTGCCCATTTAGGGAGGGTGATGGTCTTCTTATTTACTCAGTTTAAGTTCTTTATATACTCTGAATACAAGTACTTTATATCAGACGTATGAGTTGCAAATATTTTCTCCAAATGTGTGGCTTCCCTTTTTAATATTTTAAATGATGTCTTTTGAAGAGCAAAATTTTTAATTTGGTTGAAGTCCAGTTTGTCAATTTTCTTTGTTATGGGTCATGTTTTTGCTGCCATACCTGAGAAAATTTTGTCTAACCCCAAATTGCTAACTTCTTACATGTTCTCTTCTAAAATTTTTATAGTTTTAGTTCTTCTATAATTGACTTTGAGTTAATTTCTTTGAATGGTGTGAGGTAAAAGACCAACTTCATTTTTTTTTTTTTTTTGCATATGTATGTCTAATTGTTCCAGCACCATGTGTTGAATCCATTATCCCATTTTTGTGACTTGGTATCCTTTCAGAAAGTTAATTGATTCTAAAGTTTATATTTGGATTGCCTATTCTGTTCCACTGATCTAAACGTTCATTCTTAGGCCAACACTGCACTGTTTTGATTACTGTAACTTTATAGTATGTTTTGAAAAATTAACTCATGCAAGTACTCCAGCTTTACTATCCTTTTTCAAAATTGTATGGGCTATTATAGTTTCTTTGAATTTTCCTATTCCTTATTCAAATTTTAGGATCAACTCAATTTCTGCAAAACTACTTTTTGGGATTTTGATAGTGATTCCACTAAATCTACAGATTAATTTGGGAGAATTGCCATCTTAGCAGTACTGAGTCTTCCAACCCATGAACATGGTATATCTTTCAGCAATGTTTTGAACTTCCAGTGTACAGGGCTTACAGGTCTTCTGTTAAATTTATTCTTTATGATATTATTGTGAATGAAATTGTTTTTTTAATTTCATTTCCGATTGTTCATTCCTAGTATTTAGAAACATAATCGAGGGGCACCTGGGTGGCTCAGTTGGTTAAGCGACTGCCTTCGGCTTAGGTCATGATCCTGGAGTCCCTGGATCGAGTCCTGCATCGGGCTCCCTGCTCAGCAGGGAGTCTGCTTCTCCTTCTGACCCTCCCCCCTCTCATGCTCTCTATCTCATTCTCTCTCAAATAAATAAAAAATATTAAAAAAAAAAAAAAACCATAATCGAGCTTTGTATATTGACTTTATATCCTCATATTTGAACTCATTTATTAATTCTAATAGTTTTGCATGTGTATGTATTCCTGAGGATGTTTTTGCATACACGATAATGTTACCTGTTAATAAAGCCAGTTTCGCCCCTTCCTTTCCAGTCTATATAGCTTTAATTTCTTGTTAAATCCACTGAATCGAATCTCTCGTATAATGTTGTATAGATGTGGTGAAAGCTGGCATTCTTAACTAGTTCCTGATCTTAGGAGGAAATAATCTATTCTTTCACCATTAAGTAGGATGTTGGCTGTAGGTTTTTCATAGCTGCCCTTTATCAGGTTGAAGAAGTTCAATTCTATCCCCAGATTGTTAATATGTTTATCATGAAAGAGAGTTGGATTTTGCCAAATTCTTTCTGTGTCTACTGAGGTGATCATGTAATTTTGTCCTTTATTCTACAGATAGGTGTATTTTAGTGTGTTAAACCAACCTTGTATTTCTGTGATAAACCTCTTTCGGTCATAATAGATGATCCTTTTTATATGTTTCTGGATTCAGTTTGCTGACATTTTGTTAAGGGTCATTTAAATTTAAGGACCCTTTAAAGAATGTTTTTAAATATAAAGAAGTCAAACTTTAACATATTTTCTTCTATGGTTTGAGCTTTGTATGTCTTGAGAATTTTTCCTTACCCTAATGTCATAAATATATTTTGTTATGTTTTATTCAAACAGTGTTATAGGATATATTTATTTAACAGTGCTATAAAATATAGAATAATGCATATGAATTTACTATGCTTTTAAAATCGAATTTAAGGGGAGCCTGGGTGGCTCAGTCGGTTGAGCATCTGCCTTTGGCTAAGGTCATGATCTCAGAGCCCCGAGTTGGGCTCCCTGCTCAGCGGGGAGTCTGCTTCTCCCTTTACCTCTGCCGCTCTCCCTGCTCATTCTCTCTCTTTCTCTCATTCTCTCTCAAATAATAAAAAAATCTTTTAAAAAAATCAATAAAACCTAATTTAAGTTTTTCCATATGGATAAAAGTCACTAGTATCATATATTAAGTAGTACATTTTGGGTGCGCCTGGGTGGCTCAGTCAGTTAAGTGTTTGCCTATGGCTGAGGTCATGATCCCAGCATCCTGGGATCAAGCCCCGAGTGGTGCTCCCTGCTCAGCAAGGAGTCTGCCTCTCCCTCTCCCTCTGCCTCTCCCCCCTGCTTGTGCTCTCTCTGTCTCTCTCTTCCAAATGAATAAATTTTTTTAAAAATCTGTAAAATAAATAAATAGCATATTCTTTCCCCCTTGATTAGTAAGTCTACCTGTGTCACATATCTAATTTTCATATAGATTGTTTCTGCATCCTCTGTCCTGTTCCATTGATCTATCTATTCTTGGACCATTAAGAGATTGTCTTAAGAGGGCGGAGCAAGATGGCGGAGGAGTAGGAGACC